AGATACAGTGGGGTCACTGAGGAGATGCTACAAGATGTCACTGTCAGATTATGTGATGTTCAGGATAAATTAAAGCAGCTGCTACCTCCTAATGCTATACTAGTAGGACACTCGCTAGAGAATGACTTACTGGCTCTTAAAATGTATCATCCATTTGTCATTGATACGGCAATGCTCTTTGCTCCTTTGGCCACGCCCAGGTCTAAGCCTGGATTGAGACTCGTTGCTAAAAGGTTGCTCAAGAAGTCCATTCAGACGAAAGAAGCTGCTGGTCACGATCCTACAGAGGATGCCATGACATGCATGGAACTTGTTAAGAAGAAACTCCAGGAAGGAGCTGATTGTGTTATCGAATGGAAAGAGTTCAAGTTGTGGCTACCTATGCATCTAGCAGCTAATGGAGTCTCACACTGTGTCATTGATAAACAATCAATGGCTTCACTCTACACTGGCCGGGTTGAGAGTTCTTATCAAGCTGTAACCAGTGATCAAGAAGCTGTTGATAAAGTACTTGAATGTGCTCCAAAAAACACTTTCATATTCACACAATTGCACTCAATGGAAGTATTGAAGAAAAGGACTACTGGTTATACTGAGGATGAGTTTAAATCCACTCTCTCTGAACTGGATAAGCTATGCTGTGACATAGTGTCTTCATCCCCTCCTGATAGTATCATTATGATTGTCTGTGGTAGTGGCCATATTGGGGAAGTGAGGGAACTCCAGAAGGATTCCAGTACTAGTCTTGAGGTCCTGAAAAGTGCTGTGATGAAGGCCAGGGAGGGTAGGGTTTTTGCATTGTTAAAATAGTTTCATATTATTTTTATTGAACAGTTTTTGAGATTTCAAATAATTTTGCATATAATGGGTAGTGCAGGGACGTGATGCAATGTAGTTTCGCAGGCCAGACCATTCCCCAGCATACACTAATGATTGTAGGCTAAGGAATGGTATAGACGCAATGAGTTTTGGCCAATGCTTATTTTTTACAAAGCAATTAATAGAATTGTTAAATGTTAATAATAATTAGAGAGCAGCAAAAAAACTTAATCAGCAAATAGAACTATATACTAGCTAGTTTAGTTAAGTCTAACAATGTACTAAGTTGGCTATTAATAACACTAAGGCCTAATTAATTATATGTAAAGTTAGCGATTCTTTTTCTTTGTTGCATCTTGAAGATGGACTATTTCCTTCCATGTACAAACAACTTGACTTAGTTTAATATCAGGAGGAAACAGCTCCAAAAGATAAAAAATAGACTCAGACTTGGTTTGATACACATAGTCAAACAAGACTACTCTCAATCTAATCAGAATAATTAAATATAATAGCTTAAATTAATCTTAGAGTAACTCTTACTGTTTATGCTTGTCTTCCAGATGACATGTTTGTACATAGGTTTGTATCATCTCATACATCACTTCCAGCATATTATCTATGTTAGTCATTTTACCGATTGCTGCTTCAAGAGATATTCTTTGTTGTTCATCCTAAAAATTCCATTTTAGAATTACAAAATAATCAATATAAACTGACATCTAGTTCTTCCATAAATTCTGGTTTAACAGTGAATGGATCCTATAAGAAAATAATTATTATCTTAATAATGTGTAGTGGAATAGGGTAAAGGTCTTTTCATTTTGGATGTTAATGTCTGAAAATGTGGTCAAAGAGCTTCAAAA